CTTGAATTTACACTTGAATTCTTCAACTTTCATCTTAGCCTTATGTGTTATTATATTGTGATATATAAAGACTTATTTTATATTTATCAAAAACTCTGTGCATTTTCTTTTAATCATTACACAAGGTCAGTATACACCCAAATCAATTATACCGATACATAGTGAGAATGGGCGTTGTCGTAAATTAAACAACTCAACCATAACTTCAAACTACCACCAAGTGAAACACGTTTACTAAGAGACCTTGGTCTATAGTTTTCGTAGTTTTACAACTAATAGTGACAAAATGTGAATTGGTAATTTTCATGACTGATAATAAGAGCAATTATTGTTTTTCTTCAATTTGAAATGAGCTTTAGAATCTTTCAAAGTTTCTTCCTTATCTGAATATACAACAGTAATTCATTTCGCAGAATTTATGTTTATTACGTCATTTCCAACCAAATTATGGTCGTTTTTACAGACACTCCGACAGGTATCAATTCTCCATTTCTAATTTACCTAATAGCCTTAATAGTAATTTACTAAACGTAGCTTAGATGTAGCATAAGGCTTCAAATATGGAGCAACCAGTGAGGATTGATCTCACTAATCAGTCATAACTGAATCTAGCGAAGCAGATTTGTTAACCATTACACCACATCGAAATGACCAATTACTCATCTATTTAGTCCAATAATATTATAATATAATTGCCCACGTTTCTTTATAACTGATCTCTCAAATCATCCAACACCTTCGACACTCTACTTGATTTTGCATAGCGGCTGGAAATAATTCTTTTTCTTGTAGTTAATGCATAATTTTTCAAATGCTAGACATTTCCCCTTATTCAATTCGTGTCCATAAAATCAGACTCTCTGCTTATTGTATTTATTCCTTTTATTCCCGGTGATAGGAAACAAAAATCTCTAATTCTCCTTTTCTGATATCACTTTTGTTCAAATGTAAGATTCTACTGATGTATAAATTCAACACAAGTATTGAGATTCATATTTCCAAGTTGTAGTTGTTCGAGCATTTTATATCGATGAGATGCCATATATATATATATATATATTTTCTTCAATCAATCATATTTGTATCAGTCACTCTTCAATAGTTTGCTCAAATTCACAATATCGAATTCCATTCCGCCGTCTATGAAGAAATTTTATGATTGGTTCAGAAGGCTCTTGTTGCATCGACATATCTTTCGGCAAAAACTAATTTCTTTTTTGGTCTCGTTGTTTTTATGATTTCTTGTATTTCTTCAAAAGGCAAAACTTGTAAGTTTCTTCGATAGACCATTAGAGAGATTTTCATTACTACGGCAAACTCAGCTGTGAATAAATCTGTGATTTTACTGTAACCACCAACTGCCAATGGTCGATACTCAAGTAAGTAGTCACACAACCTGAATATGGACAACCTTTTTTTGTTCTTTTCTCAGAGGGACTATAGCATTCAAGCTTCACATATTTAAATTAGACCATATTATTTTTATACAATGCGTTTGACTTCATTATCACAAAGCTGTTTCTGTTATTTATTTTAACAACTTTTGTGCACACCCCCTAATTCTTATGAAAAAATAGGTCGCGTCTACAATTCATTTTCATTTCATTTTATTTAATTCACTCATGATTAGTTTATTTATTTTCGTCTACCGGTCTGAATTTTTTATCAGATTTCGAACATTCAGGCCGGTAGACGAAAATAAATAATCATAATGTTTAATAAATAAACGGAGATTTTACTCAAATACGAGTATCCACTAAAAATAACGTTTAAAGTGATAAAAATTTGTCGGATTAATGAAACCGTGTAGATATGAAAGATTTATGTAGATCTATGACGAGAAATGTTTTCGCTTGACATTACACTTTAACAGACTAATTTACCAAAATCATACAGACATCTTGAAATACTAAAGACTAAATTTATTCAATATAATCGCCATTGGTTTCAACCACGGGCTTCAAACAACCTTGGAATCTCCTGCAACTCTTCTGGACGGACCCCTTGTTTAAGTTGATAAATGCTGCTATAATTCTTGCCTTCAGTTCATATTTGGTATTACAAGGAGTTTTCTTTTTTTTTTTTGTCTCTCGCTCAATTGTGCTCCACACATTAAGTGGGTTGCAGTCTGAGGAGTTAGATGGCTAGATGTAAGGAGTGATGTGGTTGCATAAATTACTGACTGGGTTCTCTTACTTGTGTGGCATGGTTCCAGCAGCCACCCTCTTGAATCAGGGCAACACTACCTCCTCAAGGTACTTGTTGTAGGCCTCCATGTTAAGTTTGAGGCCCTCACCAACAAATTCGGGACTTTTCTCATCAGAAAGATCAGAGTGATTATCCGAGCTGCTGTACCTTCGTAATCATTAGACTCATCCAACTCTTTACGAATCCTTTGCACTGATTGACACCCAAACACTCTTAAATACCCGTGATAGAACTTCTGGCGCGAATGCCAAGCATGCTATTTCCAAATTTCTGATGGTGCCCAACTGACCCTACTATACTGTGCAGTCGACAAAATCAAAAAACAAACAAAGCGCACGCGCGAAATTAAAAATATAAAATGGTGACAATTTACCCACCGTCCTCTTTTATATATATATATATATATATATATATATATATATATATATATATATATATATACTGCTGCAGTGATTTCGATTCTCATTGGATGTCCCAAAATTTTGGGCTTTTATCAGTCTTAACCTAAACTTAAACACAGACACACACTCCAGTGAAAGTTATATAACAACAAATAAAATAACATTAAAGTGAGGTGACACGATATCTAGGGTAAGATCAGTGTCGAGATGTGACACTGTAAGGCGCTGGAGGTGTTAAGGGATAGCCCGATAAGCATATCAAGAGGCGAGTGAGGATTTTATTAAATTCAGAGACTTTGTTTTTCTTCTTTGGATAAAGGCAGGCGTAGGGACAGTAACATCTGATTTGTCCTTCAAAAACCATATGACCGAAGTTGACAACTGTCTATGAAGCGGACCTGGTAAATGTTGGGTTGACAACACGACGACCGAAAAATAAAGATATAAGGTCCTACGATGACCAAGTCATGAGGGGGGGGTGGCTGACTGGGTGTAAAATGGCTTTATTATTATTTTGAGGACTCTAGTCATAAAAGCCATCTAGATAATTTAAACCCACGGAGGATGGAGAGTGGCGGTGTAAGAGCCGAAATGGAGACATTATTGTTATAAAATTCGGGTTAATGGAATTGTCTGCAGGCCGTAACCCGGTAAGGAAAAATTGGTCGAGAGATAATATTTAAGGTATTCTGGAAACAAAGTCAGATTTAGAAAATGTCCTTTTTATCACTTGTCAAAAGAAGAGAGAACGGTGTAAATCGCTGGAGCGGTAAAATTTCTTTAGATAAGAACTGAAATGCCACACGAAGAGGTTGTAAGGGGAACAGCTGATTAATGAGCGCCTCTCTCCATCCTCCGTGGGTTTAAATTATCTAGATGGAAAAAAAACTCTCTAAATTTAATATAATCTTGCCTCGACTCCTGGTATGTTTATCGGGCCATTTCTTAATACTTCCAGCCCTTTACAGCGTCACAGAGATAAATTTGTTGAAATTAGACAAAAGACAAGATTGTTTTACGATTATGAGATGAAACTAATTTATTCTGGCATGTATATGCTACTATGTTATTAGAGAAGGATCTTATTTTAGGAAAAGACATGGTTGCTCATCTTAAATAGAATACTTTCACACGTTTCTTTTACTTTTGCTTACCTAACCGAAAACCAATAAATTACAATGTGGATTAGGTAGCGTCTCTTCTTTTTATACTATGTCCTACATCCATAGAAAAGATTCCGAGAATCGATAACGTCCCTTTTTTGATCATAGAAAAATCTCCATATTCCGATTAGAGTAGTAATTTTAGAAATTAGAAATTGCCTCTATCAATGAAATTGATTGAAAAGATTATTTTAAAAGAAAAATTTAAGTTGAAAGTTGTCGTGTCCATAAAGAAATACGTAAATAAAAATTAATTATACTGTCACTGTGTCGTGTTCATAAAAATAAATAAATAAAAATGTATTATAGTGTCAAAAATAATTATAATAAAATGATTATAACAATTATAATCATAATTAATTCATGCTTTTTAAACCAATAAGAACCGACCCCACTTTTCTCCTCTGTATACACAAATACTTGATATTCTCACAACTGGACAGGCCGTCAACACGTGCGTCAATGAAAATTTCGGCTCATTTTCATTTTTCAGGCCATAATAGTAACATTTATCACTTAGCACACAACAAAAATTGGAGGTAAGAAAACTCCAGATACTTCTTCTATTTTCCAACTAAATTATCTGGGAACTCATTACACACATCTATAAAAATATACGAGAAAGACTTATTTTACTTATTCTTTATCTTATCATTCCTTCTGATTCCAATCCATATTTGATCTACATTTGACCTCACAAACTCACAATTTTACTCTGTATTAATTTCTCTCGTGCCTCCAACACCACATGACAACCAGATAATAAATAATACACGTTTTGTTGTTTCCACGTCTTCCTGTCTCATTGTTATGAGTATTTTTATATATATAAATGTAAGAGGGCTTGCAATTATTTACTCACATTTGTAACTCCCCTACGAAGTCAAGAAAATAGGGACGAAACGAAGAAAGGAAAAAAACGAAAGCAATTAAAGAAAAGCAAATAGTTTGCAATAATTTGCATTGATAAGACTCAGAATAAAAAGAAATACACTTTGCTGTCATTTGTTGCTTTTATTAAAATGTCACATAACAGAATGAAAATGAAGAACGTGTTTGTGAAATTAACATCTATAATAAAGACACATCGCATTGGAAAGATAAGCATCGAGTGAAGGTGAGTTGTTGCTCTAAATTATTCATGTGTGATGATTGTGAATTCTCACTTCAATTCTGGTCATCATGAATCAATTCAGTTGGCGCGTTGTAATCAAAACACTCAAGTTTCTTAAATGCCATGGAGAATCTTGTATTCTAAAAAAGAGAAAAATACTTTGTAACTTCTTTTTTGGTTGTTCTTTGTTATTATTAAGATTACAGTTTTTTAAAAATATCATTTTTTATATACTGTTTTTATTTTTTACTTTCGTTACCTGTATTGAATAAATGATTTCTTAATATAAACTTGTGATCATTTTTAAACTACACCCTTTTTATGTTTCTTTGTTAGGGCGAATTGTCAAAGTGTCAAGCTTATCTATAACCAAGTTAGTATTAATATGAAACTTTTTGTTATTGACAACTATGTGCAAACATTTATCAGAGAAAAAACAAAAAATAGATCAAAGCAGCATTTCCTCCAGTATTTCAAGTATTTATGGAATATAAAAATCTAGGACAGTATAACTATGGAGAAGAATGTTAATATTTTTGAATTTATATATTCCGTCGTTTTTAACTAATAGTTAATCTGACTTGAAAGCCGGACTTGCAATCTAAAGCCATCGATTTACAAGGCAGTATTATGAATGAAAATAAGACAGTACATTGAATAGACAGTGAATAAAAATTTCCTACCTTCCCAAGTAACCTTGCCATCTTCGTTATTGTCTCCAAGAGCGTAGTATTGCATGCTGTCGTGTATTTCGTCTTGTGACATTCCCATACGCGCTCCAATTTTCTCAATGTCTTCTTTTGTGATAATGTGGTCATTGTTTGCATCCTCTAAAGCGAACCATTCACGAGCGCGGATGGGATCAGAATCGGGGTAACTCATGGCTACTAGATAATCAGGAATGAGGTCTATTACGCCGTTCTCTGATATAAAACAAAAAAAATTCTTTATATATAATTATTTGATCTCTACATTAACAATAAAAGATGATCTGTATTTCGAGTGATTCAATAGAAATATAGATGATAGATTATAGATGAATCTATACCAAATTTAATGTAAAATTTTCCAATGAAAGTCAATAGGCTGTGAATCGACTTTTTTATGACAACATTATCATGAAAAATGTTTTATATTTAAGAATGAATCTATAATTACTATTAATGCCACGTATTAGTAAACAAGTTATCTCGTTGTACATGACGAGAAATAATAGTAATTGTATTTAAAATTTAGTATTTTTGAATTGTTATCTGTTTAAGATTTAATATAAAATTCTATAGATAATAAAACAAAGCTTCATTTTAAGATGGTATTAGATGTAACCACACATAACCTCCACTTTCACATGAATAATTATCAGTAGCATACTTTATAATATATATATGCATATACGCGTGCATACAGATACGCATGCACACATACATGTCTGTGTGTGTGTGTGTGTGTGTGCTTCTGTGTGCGTGTGTAAGTGTGTGTGTGTAAACTTACTGTTTAAATCTCGACTGGCCACAAATGCATCTACAGCAGGTTTGGAAATAGCTGGGTCGTATTTCATTAAATAGTTAGCAACTTCCTTGTGAGTGGCTTTGCCGTCACGGTCAATATCGAAGAATCGACGGAATCGGTTCTGTAAAGCTATTAATACAAAATAAATAATCATTTGTTATAATTATAAATAAACTTCAACTAAAAATCATTTTCAAACGTACTGGGATAACCAAATAACCGATCTCTTTCAAACATACTAGGCAAACCAGAAATTTTCAATTAAAAATCATTTTCAAACGTACTGGGCTAACCAAAATGTTTCAGTTAAAAATCATTTTCAAATGTACGAGGCTAATCAAAAAGTTTCAATTAAAAATCATCTTCAAACGTAACCAAATGGCTAACCAAAATGGCTTTTCTGTGTTTGAGGATATATATATATATATATATATATATATATATATATATATATATATATTGTTATAAAGTAATAAGACTGCAAGCTTACATACTAAAGATAGAAATTATTTAGATTTGTGTCTGTACAAGATGTTTTGGCAAAAGAGTCAAACCTAATTGCGCATTTTTTAAATATCACCATTGGCGTATTTTTGTTTATTGATTCAAACAGTAAAGATAGAATCAAATAAGCAACAATTTTTGTCTATGAATTTCAAGAAAGATAAAAATGCAACTGGAACACTCAAATGTTTTGTACAGTTTATAGAGAAGATACTGTAAATGATTAAAAGTTTGTGAACTTTTTATCCGGCGATTTCTCGATGAACGATACTCTATAGGCGGGTAAGATCGTTTGAAGTTGATAGCGATCAAGGCTTGAGAATAATAGATATCAGATTGAAAATATCCAATTCATTGAAAATATTTACAGTATTATCGTTATGTTACTCTCTTTAATAGGTTACTTCCATGGTTAAATGTTCCGATTTTAAGCAAATAGTACACGGAGATGAAAAACGGATACTTTACAATAGTGTGGAGCACAAGAGATCGGGGTGCAAATGAAATGAACCATTATTAATCACACCAGAGATTGGCTTTCATCCAAAGAAGGTGATGCTGTAAGTAACTTAATTAGGATTAATTTTCTCATATTATATCTTAATTTGTTCTAGAGACACAAACATTATCAGTAGATCCCACTTTACCGCCAAAGCTGGTCACATAAGTTCGACAAAGCTCAACAACAAAGTTCGACATTTAGAATCCAAAAGAAGTAATTTTCTATGAAATCCTAATGAATCGAAGACTGATTTGAGTAAGAGCTACTCTCAATTAAACCAACCCTACACGTAAGCCACGAATCTGCCACTGGGTGGCATGCCACTACCCTACACGCAAGCCACTAGTGGTCCGCTTGTATATGCGGTCCTGTGGTGGCAGCCACCGGTGGGCCTCTAGCGGAGAGGTACACGCTAGCATACCACTGGGTGGCATGCCGCTAGCGTTTACCGGCAGATTGTTGGCTTGCGTGTAGGGTAGCGTCCTGCTGTTGAACCGCTGGCGTCTTCGTCTAGGCAATGTTACCATTGGCGGACCTCTAGAGGCCCACCGGTGGCTGCCACCAGAGAACCGCTAGCGTTGCCACAAACAACAATCCTTTGTTGAAAAAGATAAATAAGTCTAAGGATTTATAATGTTTCCTGAAAGATCGCAGAAGAAAGTAAAACAAGACAGTAAATATGTTTCTCAATAAAGTTAATAACCAAAATAAATTTTTAAAAAAATAATATCTTACTTTTACGTAATAAACCAAATGAACTTTTTCGGTTAATTTTAGTTTAAATGTTTTAATAGACGATAGAAAAACTACCAAAGAAAACAGAAGGTGCATTGGAATAGCGAAAGGTAACTTCTAAAAGCTAAACAAAGCATTAATAAGAAATATAATTTTACCAGAAACAAAGAAAAGAGTGTTGAACTGCTACGTAATATAAATCTTTCTATATGGTAGGGAATGCAGGAATTTTCCTCATATATAACAGAAGAATTGAAGCTGCAAAATGCCATAGACGAAGCATGTGAGCGTCAAGGAAGTTTGAAGGAAAATTAAAGCACTTATACTTAGTATCAAAAAAAGATAGTTGAAATTTCTGGGACATATAATGAAAAAAGTCTTGAAGAATTTAACATTCAGAAGACATATTGAAGGCAGGAGAGGTAGTGGTGAACAACGAGTAACATAACTAATGAGTTTTGTATGTTGGTGACAGAACAGGGACTGGTAAGAATAATAAAGAGACCAAAATTACTTAGAGCTGCAAAATATAGGAACTTGTGGAGAGCTATGATCGCCACGGGAAACAATGCATAAAGAAGATTGCTTTCAAGTGACAAACCGTTTATATTTATTGCCGTTCAATTTTGTTCGATGTCAAATTTTATAATGCAAGTCGAGTTTTTAAGAAAATCAGTGTTAATCTTCAGAATATACTTATCTTCATTGGTGTACTATATCGTGTGGAATTCATCTGAGAATATGTTTGTCTTTAAATTAATGATAAGCATGATTTAACTTTACTTGCAGCATTTTCTATTGCTTCCTAGAAATCTCCTTTACTTTAATATTGTTTTCCTCATATACACGTATTTTTATGATTAACTGCAGCTTTCTATTTGGAAAGGTTGAGGCCCATTCCATTATCTTTTTATTTGAAACTGTTTCTAAAACGGTTGACAATCTTGAAGAATGTGAAGGAGAATTGTCTTACATGAATATATTTGTACCATTAAAAAACGTCTTAACGAAGAACTAACAATAATTATCTATATTTATCAACTTTGAAAGGAACCACAATGTTACTACTTATAATGAGATGACGATATATTCAATTTTGATATATCAAGAACAATTTGGGGGAGAGATGTATGACAAAGTGGGAAAAGTTTTCGTATAACTTCAAAACGCGTCACACGAAAACTTTTCCCACTTTGTTATACATGTTTCCCCCACTATTTATAATACCAGTGGCTGGAAAAATTACTGTATCTCCCCTCTGTTGTTTTCTTATCTGTAAATGATCCAACCTCTAACGTAGCAATCAAGTCCATCCAATGTAGTGCAACATTTATTGCGAGAAATCAATTTTCATGTACGTCTTCACCTAACATGTATTATGATGTTTACTTGGGTTGCTTTCATGCCGTTAGCTGATATTCTTAATAGTCTGCATTTTTCAATGTTTTTTTCTTCGCAACACCAAATATGTTTTTGCTTTTCTTGCTTATGAGCCTTTTTATTTTCTACAGATTTTTTTACACTATTAAACGCAATTTTTCTTGGTCTTACGAATGTATTCAATTTTGTTATTGTTTTTTGTGATCACTGTTCAACATTTTCACAATTTCCAGTGTTGTGTTCCTATCACTTAATAATTTTGCAATATCTTCTTTAAGATCATCTCATTATTACCACCCATGGCAATCTTCATATACCTGAAATAATAATAATAACAGAAAGACAAATACCAGTAGTTATGCTATCATATATATTTACAATATTTTGAACAACCTTCGAGTTGGATAATAAACCAGAAAATTATTGCAGATATTTCTAATAAAAACACATACAATAAGCTGAAATTTACATGGTATATTTATCA